GTGTGGGAGAGATTAAAATCAGATTAAAATTGAAAATATAGCTGTTATTGTTGACTTTTATTAGATGAGTGGGGCCCAATAACGACCATATTTTCAATTTTAATTGGCTTTTAATCCCTCCCGAACGGTGCCTAAGAGTACAATGAATTATAGTTTGAATTATAGTTTGAAATAATTAAATTAAATTATTTTACCCATTAATTACATATTTGATGCTCATTATTGAATAGAGAATGCATTTTAAATAGTGATTTGATGAAAAATATGTTGTTAAAAATAAGGAAAAATTTTGAATTTGCGTGTAATATTATTTTATTAAAAAATGTGCGGTTCAAAATGAGTTTTAAAAAAAAAAAAAATTTCTAAGAACGTAGATAAAACAGAGTGTAAATCTATACTTATAACTAATTTAGTCAATTTGAAAAATAGTTAAAACAAGATACTAAGAGTACAATGGACAAAATACTCATAAAATAACAAAACTATGTCAAAAGTAATGTAATGGGTAATGTACAAATAACTTATTCCTGTACAATATCTCAAGCTCAAATTGTCTTATAAATATCATCCATTAGAGCTTGAGATATTGTACAGGAATAAGTTATTTGTACATTACCCATTACATTACTTTTGACATAGTTTTGTTATTTTANAAATAATCATATATTTCTTAACATTATCAATTTTGAAAAATGATATTAAATAACGACAGAGTTGCAACTGAAGATTCGTTAGTGCAAATTATGTTGCTAATCCATCGATAAAATTGTAAAATAAATACATAATAAATTAAATAATTCACTGGCAGATCTTGCAATAGATAATTCCATTGAAAACTATATAGAAGAGAAAAAAAATACCAAAGGAAACTTTTGAAGCAAAATAAAGTATTTTGTCTACATGTACTATCGAGTTTAGACCAATCGGTCTAACTATCTTTTCTTTTCATTTTCTTTTGAAAATTTAATATGATTTCAAATTGAATTATAGTTTGAAATAATTAAATTAAATTATTTTACCCATTAATTACATATTTGATGCTCATTATTGAATAGAGAATGCATTTTAAATAGTGATTTGATGAAAAATATGTGGTTAAAAATAAGGAAAAATTTTGAATTTGCGTGTAATATTATTTTATTAAAAAATGTGTGGTTCAAAATGAGTTTTAAAAAAAATAAATTTTTCTAAGAACGTAGATAAAACAGAGTGTAAATCTATACTTATAACTAATTTAGTCAATTTGAAAAATAGTTAAAACAAGATACTAAGAATACAATGGACAAAATACTCATAAAATGACAAAACTATGTCAAAAGTAATGTAATGGGTAATGTACAAATAACTTATTCCTGTACAGTATCTCAAGCTCTAATGGATGATAT